AGTGGGAAAAAAAGATAACTTGCCGGCGTCAGGATCGATACTTGCGACCTTAGAGTTAGGCGTCTGGTGCTCTGGTTTGGTTTTACGGCTTTTTGAAGGTTTTAGTTGAGAAGCATCTCTTGGTCAGGCCTATGTCCCGCGTCTTCGGCGGCGTCCGCATTCACGCTATGCATGCTCCTTCCTTCTCTTCAACAAATGCGCGTTTCTCTCTCCACTGTTCTCCTGCCACCTGCTTGTGCTCGTTTTCCCTCTCTCTCTTTTAGGCATTCCTCCCAGCGGCGCTAACACCCCAATTGTGCATGCGCGTCCCCTTCATCACTCTCTCATGTCCTATGCTCCCATAATCTAACCTTGTAACGCCGACACAGGGAGCATCTGCTAACCTACGCTCGCACTCCCTGTCCTACAGGCTTTCCTCCCCGTGGCATTTACACTGCCATTGCACGCGTGCGTCCCCTCCTCTTCCTATCCTACGATCCTTCTCTCTCCCCTCGCAACGACGACGCAGGCAGCGTCTGCTAGTGAGTTTCTTGATTGAAAACAATTTCTATATCTCACGTATAGTGAAAATAATTATACGTGAGGCATGCTAGGGAAGGCTGATATGTCACTTTACAATCAGCACAACGTTACGAGGCGGACGAAGGCAGTATACAGCACAGCAAAAACAAAATGTTATGCGTACTCACTATCTAGATAAGACGCAAGTATGTTGTTTATAGTCGCATAACGACGGCACCACTTACGTTTGCAATAATAGCACAAGCAGTGGTAGTCATTTAAATTATGCCGCACTTGACTTCCATGTCGTGATTATCATGTTTGCGCCTGATATTTGTGTTCGTAGTCCATTCGCGTCACGTAATACAAAATTTAGTATATGTAATGCTAGCGTAACGGCCGTGAGTGCGCTATGAGCGTAGCATGTAATCATGTTTTAAATGACACGCGTGTCATGATTATCATGTTTGGATGGTTTATTTAACTTCGTCATCTATTCACGTCACGTAATACCGAATTTGGTATATGTGAAGCTAGCGGAATGGCCGCCAGTGCATCATGAGCATGGTATGTTGTCGGGATCTTACATGACACGCATATCATGATTATCATGTTTACACCAGTCATATACCTTTGTCACCCATTCAGGTCTCGCAACACCAAACTTTGTATATGTGATGTTAGTGAAACGACCGCGAGCGCACCATGAGCGTGGCGTGTAGTCATGGCGTACACGACATGCATGTCGTGATTTCTACGTAAGGGCCTGTCACTTATGTTCGCCATGCAGTCATGCCATAGCATACCAGGTTTGCAATATGTCATGTGGATGAAGCCACCGCAAGAGCAGCAAAACCATGCCATGGTAAATAATGACAATAATGATATACATCTGATGATATTCATGTTATGACTAGTCATTTATGCTCGTCATACAGTCATGTTGTGCCATACCAATTTTGGTATAGATGCGATTATCGCAATGGCCAGGAGAGCTAAAAGTCGTAGGCGGATGGACAGATGGATGGGCGGGCGGATGGATGGATGGATGGGTGGATGCGGCCAAAGTCACCGAAGTTCACCAGGAAATGCTTCGCAATTAAAAACCGACTGCTCGCGCTACACAATCATTCACTGGCCACCGCGAATAAATAGGCACTGGATCTTGAACTCCCAGGTAGTGCCGGTGAGATATTTCTTCTGTGCGTTGTTGAACATATAAAATTCGCAGCGTACACGTTAACTAAACGTGGACTGCGGGTATCTGTGTCCAATTGGAGTCTTCTTTCTCTCATTGCCCATTAGAGCGATTGGAATGTTCCAGTAGGAAACACCGGCCCATCACGGCGTGTTTTGCGCCTCCCCAGGTTTCTCTCCTGCGCTATGCCGCGATGAGCGCCAGCGTCAATACCACCGCCAGTGCGTTAAACATTAACGCCCGCTGTTTTGCGTCTACACATTGTTCCTTTTAGCGGGAGAAGACGTATTTTATTAAACTGGTGGACTCAATTGTGAGATAGGCTCATAGGCGCAGAATGCTGTAAGTAGAATTAGTCACGCGAAACTCACAACAATCACTTTGGGATTTCATATAGCATCTGCTTTTCTGCAAAGTAAAGGGGTTCAGCGTCAAACTGTGAGCTTTGCGAAAATGGGGGATTCAAGCGCGCTTCAGTTGCGCACCCAAAACTGCCGTAGTCCAACCTTCAACCTTATGATCAGACAGTAGTATTGCTAGTAGCATATCTTGTGTTGAGCAGAGGCGGTAAAATTGGGCATTTCAAAGTAATTTTTCGTGGTTGCTGCTGCTCCTGTCCGTCGGAAATGAGCATGATGCCATAAACTGTCTGGTGAACGTGAGTCGAGTTTTCTTTGTTTAAGGTCGAAAGGGAACGGGAAAAGTTAATCACCCAATAACTTGAGCTTTTCTTTGATGACAGAAAACTAGTTTATAATGGTAAACGTAATCGTTTTAATTTCTATTTTGTTTTTGAGAAATTGGTTGTCTTGACAAATAGTGCATTGCTCACGCGCAAATCGACTGCATGAATGTGAAGAAAAGCTGGCGAATAACTATTGGAGTGTATTCAATACCTTTACGTTGGACGCTTTTCTTCATGGGACATTATTTCATCTAGTACACGACATTATTGGTTAACTATAACATGTTGGTTACAAAAAAGGTGCTCCTACTAAAATGTACATATGAAAAATGATTAGCACGGGTGAACGGTGACCGCAGGCGCAAATTCGCGACGCGCGCCGCTGTTGTTCACGAGCACGCCGATAGCGAGATTTCGAAGTCTATTCTATATTTCATTCCATGTCTCACTGTTATCGTCGAGGCTTGCCGTCGTCTCTAGTCGAAGCGCAGGTCCATCCTATACGATACCATGTACAGAGTATACATAGCGTGCATATGATTTAAATATAGACCGTACTCTGTCCGTTTACCTGTGGCTTAGGCCCTGTGTACTTCCTTCAATACGTCCATCCGTCCGTCCTCCGTCCATTCGTTCGTCCGTGAGTCCTTTCATCCATCTCTCCGTCCATGCGTCCGTCTTTCTCTTCTTCTGTGTATCTGTCCATTTGTCTGTCCGACCTTCTATGAATCTGTCCGTGCGCCCGTAAGTCCGTACATCTGTCTTTCAGACCGTGCGTCCACCCTCTATCTATCCATCCTTGATACTAGTCCACGACTTCAATGGCTGTTTTCCAGTTCTTAGTATCGTAGACCGTCTGTGCTGACAGCTTACAAGACAGCCTCAAGCCCATTCTGTCCGAGAAATGGAGAACATCTGGACGGCGTCTACGCGACGAGGTGCTACCTAGCGTCGAGAAGAAAAAGCTAAGATAGACAAACGCAACTGTTGCATTTTCAGACTTATTTCTTGTTTAAATATAAGAATAAACGTTACATTGGGCGTCTGAAATGCGTATACTTGTGTGAAGACAACATCTATAGTGAGATCTGATCTATCCGAGTGATTTGCTGAGCCGCCATCTTGTTTGGACGGCAAAGTACATGCATAGTTTTTGTCTACGATGCCATCTTCTTGGAGCTAGCTATTTTGCCGGCTACGTAAAACTTTGAATGGGACTTAATATGGCCGCCGTTCATTTAGCTGTCTATTTAGCCGTCTTCGGTGAGTATGGGAACACACCTAATGTATGCATTATGGACCTTAGGATAGAGCTTGATTCGCGGCGTCTCTCATAATCATATGGTAGTTTTGGGACGTTAAACCCCACATATCAATCAAGAGCTTGATTCGCTCACTCGTCATCACTCGCTTCGTGAAGATGCTGTTACTTTTTCTTTTCCTGTTGATACTGAAGTTGTGAGCAACCGTATCTTGACCACAGTTGCTCTCCCCCCCCCCCCCAAAAAAAAAAGCTGCATGTTAGAGCACTTTCCGCCAGCCCACCACTCCTTCGGAAAATGAAATCTGCTTGGCACACTCGATATCAGAAAAAAAAAACACAGCGTCCGGTGTCGCAATGTTGCAACTTCGGCAACCGGTCACTTGTGCCAGCATTTTTCCGTTGAGTGTGCACATCTAATTGCGAGAACGACAAGTTAAACGGGTACATCGATGTATGCTCGTATCACCATTGGTGATTGCGGCCGTTCACTTCGTCGTAAGGGTGCTCGTCTTGCGCATTTCGCATTGGTTAACTACAAGCAGCTAGCACACTATAGCGAAACGGAGATGTACGTGCAGCTTCCTGTAGTACTTTTTCACTTGGGGCTCTTGTTACCGTTTTAAATGTCAACAGTGCCCCCAAGTACGAAACAAAGTGACCCAGTACATAGATATGCGTTCCTTTGTCTTTTTGTTATGCGTACCGCATTTAACACCGTTTGCATTTTTAGAATATGACTTGTGCTGTAAGGGCGTTTCTTTGTGTTTTTTAATATAAAAACTTCTCTTTCATAGTGGCAGCATTGCTTTAACTTGATCTATATCTGCGTATAACTACGAACGTACAAAATAGCCGGCAACCTAGGCGTCTTGGCTGACGAGCAAGCTGATGTAGCAGGCAGGATGCTGTGTTAAAAAATCACAGCATATCCCCTGAGTGAATGATGATGAGTTGGCTGAAGCGGGCAGTCCGTCCGTCCATCTATCTATCTGTCTGTCTGTCTGTCTGTCTGTCTGTCTGTCTGTCTGTCTGTCTGTCTGTCTGTCTGTCTGTCTGTCTGTCTGTCTGTCTGTCTGTCTGTCTGTCTGTCTGTCCATCCATCTGTACGTCTACAGAACATTTCAAATACCACCATCTGGCGTCATTTCGTCATATATTCATCACATTCAAGTACCTCCACTCAGCGGACATAAGTACTAAACTAGAGGTGACTACTACTACTACAAACATGGGACGCGCAGCCCTCATCGTAAGAAGCTCCGCCCCTAAAAATGAATGATAAACACGTAGCGTACTTTTCTTATCGCAGCATCGACGCTGCAGCAAATGACCTTCGTACCGGGCTTGCGCAGGTATACTGATGACGATCCGAACGGCACACGGCCGACGGTTGGAGGACGGTGTGCTTCGCTTCGCCAAGAGACACCAAGGCCACGTGAACAAGCAACCCATCCTGGTGGTGTTCAGCGATGACGGTAGGCCCAGCAGGGAGACGCTGTACCCGACTGGGGCCAACGGTGGTGAGTACTACTCCCGCCTCTTGCGTCTGCAGGCTTGTAAACGAGTACATAGTCAATACGCTATATATACACGGGCGAGTGAGACAGGCCTATATCTTTCTCGTCTGTGTCTTGTGTTGCGCATCCAGTATTATTCCACACCAACTCGCCCAAGTGTCAGTACTTTAGTAGTCACGTAATCCTACATAGCCCCACCCGCCCCATTGAGCTGAAACCACGGCGGGTTTTCAACGACAGGCAACTTCATCTCACAACACGTCCAAGCGTGGAAAGTCTTTGTTTACAGTCTTGTGTTCATTCTCTTCCGTCCGTCATTTATCAGTTGATTTCGAGCAACGCTCGCCGCTATGATGTGCATGTTCAGTACCATATTCGAGGGCGATAACAACTAGAAACTCTCCTCTTGTGTACTGGCTGCTTCGTGAATGCGGCGCAGAAAAACAGAAGAAATTCATCACAAGTTATAGTTGGAAAGATAGAGTTTTCTCGCGTGCGATTTTGTCACCGCTTCGGAGTTCCCGTTCGCTCAAGTATAGACACCAAGAGAATGTTTTTGAGAAAGTGAAAACAAAGCAGAAATAACTCAAAATGTTTAGCAGTTAATGAATTCACAAAATCTTTCGAATGTAAGTGTTGCTTGTCGATTGCCTTCCTTACGCTGTGCACGCGGCTGGAAGAAGCCCCCTTATGTTTATTATGCTCACCATATAAATATACAAGCTATTCTTATGTGTGGCATATAATTAGCGAATGTGGCTGGCTGCCGACAAAGAGGACCTATGAAGGAGAAGCTTAATGAATTATTACGGTGCGGTAGGCGCAGCGTGAGGATTGAGTGGAATGATCTTTTCGTAACCATTCGCGAATGAGCACTTTTTCGATGAATGCGGGCAAAGATCTTGCCAGGCTCTCAAAATTATAGCGGTACGTTTACTGCGGAAATACAGACACACCTCAAAGGAAAAGACGACGCACACATTTGTGATGGGTTTGTGTTTGCGCGGTAAAAGTACCTCTATGATTATGAACCAACTAAGCCCAAAAGAAGTTTTTCGGAAAATTATATTGGTGTGTTCTTTGTTTTTCCTTGTTTGGCAACTAGGTGTGCTCCGATTTCTCTGCTCTGATTTCAAGCAGGCCAGCTCGTACTGGACGGCTTTAAGATGTACCTTCAAGGAAGGGACCTAACGATCGCTTACTTCGTGGTAAGGAGGAAGGAGGAAGCCACAAAATGGGAGAAGGCAGGGAGGTTAACCAGAAAGACATCCGGTTGGCTACCCTACACTGGGGGATTAGGGAAGGGGACAAAAAACACGAGAAAGAGGGAAGAGAGGGAAAAGAAAAAAAAGTGGGGGAGAGACTGACAGTAATTTCACTGCAGCGTGTAGAACTGCAGCGTGTAGCACTGCAGCACTGCAGTGCTACACGCTGCAGTTCTACACGCTGAACTGCAGCACAAGAACTGCAGCACTGCAGCGTGTAGAACGCAAGTCAGAGGCGTTCACACAAGCCTGTCTTTCTCAGGAAACACAGCAGGGCTTTCACTGCCTTGTGGGCTGTCGAGGCATGTGGACGTTGCTGTAATAGCACCTGCACAGAAAGAGGCCGATCATTGAGGCGCCGCATTGCGTTGGCAAGTACTTGTCTATCTGAGGCAAATTGAGGACAATGGCACAGAAGGTGTTCGATATTTTCGTCGGTGCCACAAACATCGCACGCCGCACTGTCAGTAATTCCGATTAACGTGGTATAAGCTTTCGTGAAAGCAACTCCCAGCCAAAGGCGATGGAGAAGCGAAGCTGCACGTCGATGTAATCCGGGTGGAGGCCAGAGTTGTAGTGAAGGGTCGAGCCCGTGCAGTCGTGTACGTCGTATGCTTGGTGTGTTCCACTCAGTCAGTGTGAGACTGCGGGCCAGTTGACGAATCTGCCTCACCGCATCCGCTCTTGAAAGCGGAATCGGAACGCTGTTCGATTCTTTATGTGACGTGCGAGTAGCATGACCTGCAGAATCATTGCCGCCTATACCACAATGCCCAGGTAACCACTGAAAGACGATGTCATGGCCTTTTTGTATTAAAAGTTGGTGGAGTTTCACGGTTTGGTAGGTCAACTGGTCGTGGCATCCGCGTCGGAGAACTGATATCAGGCACTGTAACGCTGGTTTTGAGTCAGAAAACACAGCCCATTTACCTGGTCTTTCTTCTGAATTGATGAGTTCCAGTGCATTGCGCAGAGCCTCGAGTTCTGCTGTCGTTGACGTTGTCACATGTGAAGTCTTAAAACACCGAGTAACCCCTTGTGATGGTATAACCACTGCTCCACCTGAACTAGACGGCGTAGTAGAGCCATCCGTGTAAATGTGCACGTGGTTACTGTAGTTTTGTTCCAGTAGGAATAGACTCAGTTGTTTCAGGGCATGTGTCGGTAAGTCCGATTTTCTCCTCATTCCTGGAATATAATTATTTGTAAAAGTTGATTAAAGGCGCTTTTCGATCCTCTCATTATGGGAGCACGACTCATTACCTTAAAAAATCGCTGCTGCAAGATTGTCCAGCCTTTTCTGTCGTCGGATACCATCACGCGCTTTTCTAGTTGCTATCGTTGAACATCCTGCTGGTAAAAGCCGACTTGCTCACCGGGTTTTACGTCTTGAAGAGTATTCCTATTTAGTAGTCTTCAAGCCTGGCGTTGTGCACATGTATGCCAACTTCTTGTCAGGTTACGTGGTAGATGAGCTCAACAAGACCGCTAGCGATTACATTTTAGTGTCTGTGTGTGCCTTTGAGTAATAACGCAGATGAACTGTACCGTGACGTATCGCTGCGGGCACATATTGGTCGTCTGAAGGAATCATCAACTCTCATTCTTTTGTTCGCCAGTTCATAATCCCGGATGGCGTTCCATATATACAATCCTAACTTCCTCCCTGTTGGGTTCTTATAATTCCCGCACCACTACGTTCAGCTATCCTCTTCGAATTTTATGATGCAGAACACCTGTAGATGTATCACACACGTACGACAGCTTCTACCATCGCTTCTATTGGCAATCTCGTTTGAGCAGCGCGACGATACGTTTCTACCCGAAATTCCTGTCAGCTTTGAAAACACCTCAGGTGCTTCCTACTGGCTATCTCCAGCCACTACACGTTCCCGCTACACGTATTGTCAGTTTGCAGCTCCATACGTGCTTTTGTGCTTCAATTATTTACAAACACTAGAAGCAAGTTTTCCAGGCAGCTAACTTCAGTTTTCAACTCGATGCCCTTCAATCACTATAGCGATACTAGATGCAACTGTCTCTCACATGCCTTTGGGCAGTTTTCTTTCTAGCTTTCACGCACAGTGCAAGGTTGTATAAAAGCAAAAAAATGTTCTAGTGTGGTACGGGATAAACAAAAATAGCAATAGTATATCTCGCCAATGTTGAAAAAAAAAAAAAGCCGAAGCCGAAGCCGCCACGAGAACGAGCCCCGGAGCGGGGCACCGCTTCTAACTCTCGCGATCTCCGTGCTCGCTATACGCGGACGCGAAGAAGCCAGCCCTAATTGAGTTTGTCCATCCGACCCCTCCTTTGGCTCGGAGCGGAGAAGGTGCCGCGAGCAAACCTTCGTCGCGGCTTATTTACTGCTCCGTGCGCCGCACAGGCCACGGCCTCCCCCGCTGGCTCGCAACTGCCTCGATCACTTGCCTCACTATTGCTTGCTCGTGCTCGGAGCATGGTCCCATGACACGCGCTTTATTAACGCGTGCGCGAGTATGTTGTCTTCACCCCTGAACGACTCACTATACAGCGCTACGCCGTCTGCCGCAGACAGGAAAAGTTGATTGCCTGGAAGTAACCCGGTCTCCTACGCTACTCGGCCTTGTTACTTTCACGCCGGTGCTGCTTTCTCTCTTGGCCGTTATGATTAGCGCGCCTTTTTTTTGGTCTTTGTCCTTTCATTCTTGTCGTCTGGCTAGCGGCGTGCATTACAACGCCGCGATATACTAGACGAAATGAATTGAGGTTCTGCGTTCTGCATCCCATTAACTATACTAACAACACCTCTACTTTCATGACTAGCTTTCTTTATAATGTGGCCGAAATTCCGTTAAAATTGTGCATAGTTCTCACTTCTCATCGAACGTTGTTTTAACTCTAATTGTACGAATTTTCTTCCTCAGCTACCAGAAACCATGCATCTCTTCCAAATATAGTTTGGGAGAGCTACATGATGGTATGTTATGAATTTAACTCTCATGTACTGAAGTAGAGTAACTTATTAGGCTAGGTGGTGTTGATCCGCCTTGTTCTATAGTGCGTGTCTAAAAAGAAGGAGTAATGTAGAAGAGTCCAGACGAAAACGAGTGCCGGGTTTTGTATTTTGTTGTGTTAACACGAAAGTGTTTTGTGACGGGGTCTACCACTGCTGCGTGACGTATTTTCATCACGAATATGACGTTTAAACTATTCACAATTACTTTGCCAAGAAAAAACAAATTGGCAGATACAGTGGTACAGTGGGAATCTATGATATGCAAAGCACGAATGACGAAGGTTGATACGTCGCTTTAAAATCAGCGCAACGTTACGACGCGGATGTAAATTATGCCATACATCACTTCCATGCCATAATGAATATGTTTGGACGTGTCATTTACCTTCGTCGTCCATTCACGTCACGTCATACCAAATTTAATATAAGGAAAGATAGCGAAACAGCCGCGAGTGCATCATGAGCGTGGTATGTTGCCATGTTCTTACATGACACGCATGACATGATTATCATGTTTAAACCAATCATATACCTTCGTCCTCCATTGCCGTTCCGTAATAATAAATTTGGTATATGTGAAGCTAGTGAAACGGCCACGAGCGCATCATGAGTGTGTAATGTTGTCATGTTCTTACATGACACACATGACATGATTATTATGTTGGCACCAGTCATATAGTTTCGTCCTCCATTGATGTCCCGTAATACCAAATTTTGTATATGTGAAGAACCCGTTTAAA